GAGGTGTGGTGTTTGTGACATTTTGTGTCACATTTTCGAAAAGTGGAAAGAAAGTCATAATTAACAACCTCTACAACTACAGAATAATATAGATAGGCGACATGTTTTGCTAATCGCGTCTGCATTAGGGCAACACGCCTTGTTGAGGCGACAGATTGGTGTCGCCCCAATGTTAAAACGACCCTTAGGACAAGGAATTTATTGTCGCAAACCATCTAGATCGATTCCTCGTGGTCCAAAACATACCTATACCGAAATTCGTGGAGGCAGGATAAAGTAAACCTGGGTTAGGTGACATTTTAGGTTTGTGCACAATGGGAAAGTCGCCCTATTATAGCATTAGTAATAATTACCATTATTTTGAATTAATATGACATTAATGCATATTAATAGCTGTTGTAGCTACAGGCAAAGATCATCAGCTCACAAAGAAGTGGTTTTCAAAGGATTTTGAATTTCCAGAGAAGACACCCTGGTTTTTCCGGCTAAAATTCGGTCACGGTCGGTCTATATGCCACTGTAACCCTTTTCTATTAGAAGTGTACAGTTCTCTTTGCTAGGAATATTCGTCTGTTTGGCAACTCCCTGAAACTTACTTAAATACTTAATAGAAATAAAAGCCAATTTAAGCCATATAAATGATAAAGAAAAGTAATTCGTAACTTTAAATGGGACAGATGGAAACAGAAAGATAAATTTTCACCTAGGCAAGAATTAAGGTTACGTAGTGTGGAGTATCAAGGCTTAAATCATGTTGACTCTCAACCTCATACATGTCTATAAGTTTTTCCTCAGTTGAGACATGCAGATTAGGCTACCACCAAATACGTCCATACTTCATTGAATCCAAGGTTACGTTTCACCTGTTTCTCAATCTTTCCCCTCCCTCACTCCCTCCAGATCTCCGTGGTGCCTCACTCCAGCAAGATGCTGCAGAGCAAGGTCCACCGCAAGACCCTGTGCCCGGAGTTCAAGGAGAGCTTCGTCTTCGAGATCCCCGAGCCGGACATCCACCGCCAGACGGCCCGCATCCAGCTCTTCGACTTTGACCAGTTCTCCAGGGACGAGTGCATCGGCACGGCCGTGCTGGCCCTGACCAACGTGGACCTGACGGAGAAGGTGGAGGTGTGGAAGGAGATCAAGGCGTGGCGGTGGCTCACAGACAGGTGAGGGGGCTATACCATCCTGTGTTGACCTAGGCCGTGCCCGAATGTCCTGGGCCCAATTTCACGGCGCTGATAAGCACACGATTTTCTGCTAACAGAGCCTCCGTCTATTTCATGGAGACCGTTAGCAGTGAGCACAGCAAAAGGCACGCTTACTTCAGAGGAAATATTTGCTTAACTTAGTGACGTAACAATAGAAATCTCCGTGCACGCGTGACTGTTAGCACATACTCGCCGTGAAATAGTGCTTAAGGTTAGCACATTTTTCTGCTATGCTAAACTCAACTTTTCTGCTAACTGTTAAGCAACGCCGTGAAATTGGGCCCTGTCTATAGCTTGTCCTGTCTATACCTGTGCGTTATAACCACCATCTGGTGATGCTTGCATAGTATTCAGCAGATGCAGAAGCAGAAGCTATGCTCGAGGGTTTAGGCAATAAATACATGAGCACATAGCCATAGCCGTTTCAGACACGACATATATGTGACATATGTCGCATCAATTAAGAAACGTTTTCTGCGTCTGGTTCCCAGACCTTACTTTCCCTGATGACATTTGATAAATCGTAGAAATATAATTGATTCAACAATGTCGAAAAAAAAAACCACCCCCTGTCCGAGTGTATGAGACATAAAGCCCATATGGACATTAAGCCTGGCATTTAAAAGAAAACTTCCATGTAATTGAAATTTACAATAATCAGGATCTGTACAGCAGACGTTGCAGCCACAAATGTTGTAATCACACAATCACAATCATCAACGGTCATTTTCGATGGTTTATATATGTTTTGCCGGCTATTTGCAAATGTTTTCCAATGTTTAATTTCGCTTCGAATGTTTAATTTCGTCCCTTTCTGTACATTTTAATTTTTCGCTCAAGTGAATCAAAACCGAGCACACATATTCGTCCAGGAGTATGTGATTACGTCTAGTCTACGCTGAACCGTGGTTATTCAGAAAACAAATTCGTCTGATGTCACACAATTTAATCCTAATTTTGTTCAATGTCGTCATACTTCATGACATCTTCTGTTAATGGCATAGGCCTACAGCCGCTGATAAGAAAAAAACATACGCCTAATGTATATCCCTGTTCTTTCATACATTTATTGTTTACTAAGTGCCGTCGTAGTTTTTTGCCATTTGCTTCTTTCATTATAACGCTCGTTTTATTCGCTTCTAAACTTAAAAGATGTGTTTTGTGCTCTTTGTAATCTGTACTCTTTTCTTTTGGTAAATCCTTTCTGAGTTAGGCACATCTAATTGGTCTGATAGCATCATGCGAACGAATGTACTGAATTGTGCTCCAGGACGTACAAGGAAAATGCTTTAGCACATATCAGACTTGACTTACTACCAGTTTTAAATTGATTAATATTAAACGACTTTGATCTATGAATGCTGTCATTCGGCAATAGCTGAGACGAATTCAATCTGTATTGACGAAGATTCACGACCAAGTACTTAATTAGGTTGACCGAACTTTGAAATTGTATGATAATTGACTAATCTGATTTTGCTAAAAGCATGTTAAATTCTTACCATGCATCGTGCGAATTTGATTATTTTAATATTTGGTGACACAATATCTTCAGAGTTGTATGGCTGAGAGAACCACATATGTGCAGAAGAAACCATATTAGTATTTAAATTGCGCGTGCGCACGGCAATAATTTAAGCAAAGTGACGAAGCGCCAGAGCTATAGTTGATGTCTGTCTCCCAGATCTCACGAGATACCACGATATAAAACGAGGTCACGGTACTTTTTGTTGTTGAGATTATTTTGTGCTTCCTATTTTTTCAGCAAAGTGACGAGGCTCCGGAGTTGGGCGACATCATGTTCTCCCTTGCCTACCTACCGAGTGCCGAGCGGCTGACCGTGGTTATCCTCAAAGCTAGGAACCTCCGAGCCATCAAACTACTTGAAGATAGGAAAACGTCAGGTATGATAGCTTAATGGGGCAAGTTCGATCAAGGACCATTGGTTGGCTAGTGGTCGAATCCTGACGTAAGCTGCGCCTGCGCGCTGAGTGCTTATGTTCGGACGATGATCAGCTGTCATGATTTTGTCGTCAGATGTTTACCATTCATCCAACTCGTCCCTGGCTCCCTGCTGTGCATGACCGTGGATATTGGTAACCAGCGATGCGACAAACCGCGGTCGGCTGGTCCAAGTCATATAGTTAAATGGCATGTGTTCGAGTAAAACTGCACGCGTAGACAAACGACCGTGAACGAACTTGCTTTTGGCATTAAGCAAAATATAGCTCGAAAGTTAGAAGACTTATTTTGCAGATTGCATCTATGAGTACTCTATCTGAAATGTTTTTCTTCAACAAGAATCAAAATTTAACATATGGACTGCTTTAAAAGCCACACCAGCTGGATAAAAAACCAACCATCTTACTAGACTAAACATAAATTGCGAATTGGTACATTGACCGCACATTACACTGTATTGATAATGAAGTTGTCGGAAGATTTCTGGAAATGAAATATTGGAATCTATCCTAGTACAATATAATCGCAAAGACACAAAAACTACATAATGAGCGTGTAAGTGGCTATCCGACTTCATTGCGTGGTGCGATGATCATTTCGGGATTAACTATTAACCAAATACTTAACATTCCAGATAATATGACATCATTGCCAATTACTCCACAGATCCGTACATCAAAGTGTCGATATTTTGCTCCACCAAGCGAATGAAGAAGAAGAAGACGTCGACGAAACACAACACCGTCCACCCAGTGTTCAACGAGGCGTTAGTCTTCAACGTGATGCAGGAGTCACTCCGGCATCTCACACTAGAGTTCCAGGTCATACACGAGAACAGAATAGGCCAGAACGAGGTAGGTATAAGAGTGGACTGGTTGCGAGACTAGCCAGTCATCATACTGTTGCAGATTCAAACTTCAAACCTATCTGGAAGTAACAGTGTTTTTTGTGTGTGTTTTGCATCACACCTCGTTTTTGGCTAATGGCTGGATTACATTTAAAGGTGCATTGCACAGTTTGTTCAGTAAACAAAATTTCATTTCACGTGCTTTGAAGAAAAACTGAATTGAATTCATAGTCAAAACCATGTTTTACTAATGATGGTAAAAAGGCCTGTGAATGTTCTGATTGTTCTGATACACTGCTCTAATTAGGACTCGACGCATTCCTATGAAACAATGCTTTGATGCTTCGAAAGAATGGTTACACAACAGACTGTAATGTATCAATAATACATTGTCAAGACATTGTCTAGACATTGTCTACAACTTAAACAATCTCTTGAGGTCTAATCTTCCATAACATTTAACAAAAAGCAATCGTTCTCTCTCTTCCTTTCTGATAGGTTGTTGGACGAGCGGTCTTGGGCCCCGACTCCCATGGCGAGGAGCTAGCGCATTGGAACGACATGATCTCTTCCAGCAAACCCGTGGCCCGGTGGCACAGACTGGTCACATAACGGCGGCCATCTTTATTTATTCGCTCAAGGGAAAGTTTTTCTGAAAAAAGAAGAATGTAACAATTTATCTATTTTGTATAAAAAGTGTACTTGAATTATTATGACCCTTCAGTATTGGTTCAGGAGTCGGGTGCCTTGTGGCAAGAATCACGCATTTTGCATGGAATGACAAAAGGTGCAAGACCGGGGCAGGACTGTGAAAGAAGACGCTCAGTCAGAGAGTAGTCATTTTCAACGCTATGTATCTCTCGTGCGGTAAATCTGAGGGACTTCCTAAACAACAAGTTGCGTGCTTAGTGTAAAACAGCCGAATACCAGAAACAAACAGTATACACTTCAAATGACAGTTTCGCTGGTAACTCTTTATTGTGCTAAGCGACTTTGTGACCTTACGAGCTCCGTGGACTTGACCCCAGGGTTTTAAACTTTGTCTGCACAAAATGAACGACACAATTGAATAAAGGTTGGGTGTTGTTAGCAAAGGCAGTGTAACGGCACAAGAGTGGAATAGTAACTGTAATGACAATGATAACAGTTCTTAGGTGCGGTTAATCTGAAATATTTCAAAGGCGCCTTTCTAGATGACGCAAAGGAAGATTATCACGTGGTGGGGAAAAAAGAGAGTGCAAATATATATTTTTTAAATGCTGCAGTTAGGAAGAGATGAGAAAGAGAAATATTTAGATTGAGATCGACATTTCTAAAGATTTAAGAGACGAATCGTCAAACGATTGGTTGGGATTGTTCACATATTCCGTGTGTATACAGTTTGATCGTGTTTTTGATGTCATTTTGTTCTCCCGATTCGTCGTTTGGCAGAGATCGTGATTTCACGAAGGACACGACAATGAACGTGAATCTTGCCCCCGATGTGGGAACTGAGGTTTTGTACCGGCACCACTTTTGCACCTGTTTGTATGATTGTATTGGAAAAACTCCTGATAAATAATAGTTTACTAATTGTTTTGGTGTCATTTGTTTAATAGAAAAGCTCACGAAACATCATTAGACATGAAATGGCCCATTCGTGCAGGAAATGAACTATCGTGAACTGAAGAAAACTTTCGAACGCCAAAAAGTAAAAGGAATATCATGTAGTTACAAAGTCGCTCACTCCGTGCTCTTCAAAACAAATTGATTTTTTTTTCCATAACGAATTCTCAATTTGTGTGTTTTGTTTTAACGAAGAAAAAATTACACTAGAGCGTCTGCAACTCTTAAAAAGGGCTTTTTGGCTCAAATGAACCCGCCCTGCGAGAGCCGAATTATTGTCCGTCAGCTTCGTTTCGAATTTTGTGCCCCCCCCCCCCAAAAAAAAACAATCAATAACTAAACATCGGTGGATTTCTTTCATTCGATGTCTCATTCAAACGTGAATAACTTTTATATTACTATAGGAAAACAGCAATTACACAAAAACAAATCCGTTTTTTGATTTGAAACTCGAAAATAGCATTGGTCATGCGTCTTAAATATCGAGTTTTGTCTTAGATGACGCATAATAATTCAGTAAGTTAAATATTATTTACTGATTTCATTGAATGAACTCCGAAATGACTTGAATTATTTTGAATTTGACACATGGTGCCTTGGACAATGGAACCGATCACATCTTAAACTTGCCATTACCTCAAAACCCACGTTGAGATACGTACTTCACCGTTCGCTTATTTCTATTGTAGTGGTTAATGAATGCGTCAGTGTGCAATCATAATTGTGATACCTGTTAAACACGGTAACTGACCAACTTTAATCGTTCCAAATCGTCACATTCACCAACAGGTTTGTTATGAATGATGATGTCAATCGTTAGTGAAACAAACCATAAATTTGTTTCTAAACAGTTTTACATACTTAATGCTCCATGATAAGATGATTGTAATCTTTGTGTAATTGTAAAGAAAAGAGAAAATGACAATTTCAAATAGTTGCATTTATATCCAAAACGGTCAAGTTTCTATCAATGAACTGACTTTTTTTACAACACCTTTTTTGAAAATTCCAACCCTAATCATTAACAATACCTCCAGTAAAATTTGTTGTCCAAAGATTTGAAAGTCGTATAATCATGTATTGTATAAATATATTATTTTGTATAACCTGTTGTTTTCGTTTTTTGTATGTGCAATGCTTACACGATTCTGTATGGTCTGTTAAATCACCTCAAAGTTTCATTATATTGTAGAGTTTTTCTGCTTTTGGAAAATACGAAACCACTAAATAACCCGCACACTGTTGTAAATAATTTACTAAATAGTGAAATGAATTGTGTACGGAAGATGTTATAGGCATGGATTTCAGATAAAAGACGGACCTTTATTTACTACGGAAACAAAACAATTTACCAGATGGTTTTTCGGTAACTAGATAACTAGGAAGCTACAGGCGAACGAGGCTGCAACGAAGTAGATAGAACAGGCAATGTATAAGTCTACCATATCGGGCATGTCTTGGACGTTGGAATCGTGATTGCGCCATTTTCCCAGTTGTTCATGTCCGCCATTTGCAAGACCTTGCTGTCGCGGTCTTGCATTGCATTGTGGGATTGATTCGACCAAACACGCTTTTCCGTTCGATCTACTGTAAGATGATCAAAACTACCGCCAAGCGTTCATGCAAAACGATCCGAAAAGTTGAAACTGGTTCAGCCATCTAGATCCACCAACTACACTCAACCAAAAAGAAAGTCCCCCTTCCAACACTTTTTTGTCTAACTCAAAAACTACAGTGCACCTCTCGCTCAAATAACGACTAATCAGTACAGAAATTCCTTAGCAATCCAGGCATACTCTTTATTCGTCCCAAAACAGCGATAATGTGTACGAAATTACGCAATTTATAACAAATGATACCAAAAACAGTTGCACTTTTGTATACGTGCAAGTTGTGGTTCACAGTCACCTTGCACGTATACAAAAGTGCAACCTTCTTCCGGTGTATGGCATTTGTCATAAATTGCATAATTTTGTGCACATTATCACTGCATGTTTGGGCTGAATAAAGATTGTGGCTGGATTGCTTAAGAAAAAAATCGCGGTTGGGGAAAGGGGTGGTGAGCTTCACTCCAACTTTTTTTTTTTTTTTTACAGTTACGGTGTACAATGAACGTTGAAGCAATGGCTCAGTTTTGGTCGAGTCTGAGCTTGCGTGCCGCATTCTGCCTTTCACTGCTGTGACTTTGTTCTGAGTTCCTGATTCGCCTGAAGGCATTACTATTAAGTGCGCTTTAATGCTCTCTGTTATCTTCAATAATAATTTAATGTATTGTGATACAAATTCCACCTATTTCTATTTTGCACTCCTATATACTGATAAATGGTTGTATATAATTTATTGTATTTTTGGGATGGAGAGACAGAAATCTATTTATATATTTGCACGTTTTAAATGTATGTCACTGGCCTGTTACCGTGGAAACGTACTGATTAAATTGTTAATGGAAAGTCACAATGACTTATAATGTTGACTTCTGGCGTTTACGACTTAACTTTCTTGTTCTTTTTTCATTCTTATGTTTGATCTCTTGAGTGCAAAGAGATAAATGTCGGTATTTTTACTTATGTTTGTTTGTCACACTGTCTTTTCATTCCGCTTTATTTAATACATTATGATCGGAAATAGGTTAGCGGATGTTTCAAAGGTTTTTCTTACCGATATGTCGATCGACACCTGATCAAAATAAACATTGCGACAAAGTAAAGGTAACATTTTCGAAAGAGGGCGCACTTCCATTCCCGCTCATCCGTAAGGGTGCAGATCTCTGAACAGGCCCATAATTGCCAAATCACAATGTGTATGCCCTCGATTTCTTTGCTAGTTGAGCATTTTGTAGACCATGAACTTGAAGGTTTGTAAAAAGGATGGGTGGAGGCCGTGCACAGGGATGCGAGCTCGTATATTTCGTCACCGTTTTCACGAAGGGCCACATTTGTCAAAAATTACCATTTGTTTTTCGATTTTGATTTGTTTCAATATTTTGCATTAAAACAATGTACTGTAATGTTTTTTAAGCAAAACATCATTAATTTCCAAGTTACATTAATGTTGCAAGGGGCAGTAATCTCGATAATTGCAGTTTGCGTTTTCACGAAGAGCCACATACATTTAAATTTGCTCTATTTTGCAATCGAGTGCATGCATCATATTTCAAAATGGCGATGGGTCACAGGATTGGGACTGCTCTAAAGGGTGATCATCTTCGGATGGAATTTCTCCCAAAAGTCATAGGACTAACCACCTTAAAATTGAACAGAAAATGAACGATGATGAAATAAGCTTTAACCCGAAAAAAATACCGGCGCTAGGCGCCGTGAAAACTGAATTTTCCCATATACATCGTGTACACGGAGCAGAATTACTGTTTGCACAGATGAATAATTAATTAGCCATAATTCCAAAACCCTTTGACCTATAGTCATGAAATTTGTTGAGTATGCGTATGATAAGTTGCTCTTTGTATGTACTGAGTTTCATAATTTTTCCTCACCCGATGGCCGAGATCTTGGGGGGGGGGGATTCCCCCCGGCTGAGAGATGGTATAAAATTAACCCGGGCCAGGCCCTTTTAGGGTTAATTTGATGGGTGTCTCGAACACATTGGAGAGTTGTGACCATTTTTAGACGTACACGCAATCATCATTGCGGTTTTAGGGAGTCAATATGTAGGTCTACACCCGTGACGTCACCTAAGCTCCATCTTAATATTGCAATTAAAAGGCGTAGGCCTACACCTTAAAAACATGAGATTCAATGATTTTCCCTATATTATGTATGTTCCCTCGAATCTTTGTTTTTTCGTTTCGGTACCCGGTTAAAGGTGCAAATTCGTTTGTGAGAATGTAAAAGATAAAGTGCTTTTGATTATTTCACTAATCGAGTCTAGTCACGACAAATCCACATTCGCTGAGAAAGTGTGACGTCATCTCCCCGGGTCAGGCCCACTTTCTCGATGACGGCTCACACGCATTCCTATAGTGACACATTGCACGTACTTTTAGCACTCACGATCATAAACCGCAATTAACATTTTTCTCTTTATTGATAGTTGCCACGGATACTTTCAAATTCAGCAAAAGTCGAAGCTCATCACCTCCAAAGTGCACATTCCATCGTGGCCAGGCCTATCGCCATTTTTACAACAGGCTGGTTGCGCGCAAACATTACCGTTGTGATTTAGAATTCTCGAGGCGAGGGGGGAGTCAAAGATACGCTTGTTAAGTACACAGTACAAGCCCAATTTAGATCGTTCAGTCGCCAAAGGTTCATGGATTTGTTTTGTTTCATCTCAAAGGCCTTTTCATGACCGTAGGCTTGAGTCAAGGCGTATAGCAACCCGGACACGAAAAAAAGACCATGCGAGTGGCAGGCTCGTTGGCTCCTTGCGCCGTCATCAGGGGCGTAAGGGGTATATATAATCCCAACACTTTTTGATCGTGGGATGGGCTATTGAATCATCCCCCACCTTTTTTCCGAACTTCCCATCAACTAAAATGTATTCAATAGAACTGGAAAGTGGAGAAACAAAGCACAAAAACTTCTAAAAATGTAAGCGAGAGTATACATACTTGATGAAGAGCGTCACAGTAGAATATGGTGACCAGCCCCCCCCCCCCCCCCTTTTTCGAATGTCCACGGCCGGGCAATGCAGGCGTTTCATGTGCCACCAAGAGTTTGCCAGGGAGAGTTCATTTTTCTCAGTGCATTGTGGGAGATGGTCGACAAATTCGCAGCGCGGGACAGTTGAATTTGTTAGTTTTTTTTCCGGTCAGTAGTTTCGTAAGCGTATGATTCGAGTATAAATTTGCCTTTTTCCTTTCTTTGTATCAATATGGTGTTTTAGTAAGGCGGAAGAACACCCTCCCGAAGTTATAACCACTTAGCTGAAGTTGTTTGATGACACTCATTCAAATGGGCCTTGTTTTGTCCACGCACTGCATTGTGAATCGCCGGAATTTTATGATTTTGGTCATCCCCATCCCCCCTTGCCAGCACAGATAAAATTATACGCCATTGGCCGTCATTGCACTCGCGTGGTCACGATTCTAATCATGCCACCGGCCGTTAATGTGACATTGTATTATAATGGAATCATTCCCTATATGAACAAGAACAGATGAATTTTCCCAAGCTAGCTAAGGGAGCTATATTAGAATCAGACAAACGAAATTCCCTCATAAAAAAATTGTAAACGGGTCAGTAGTTTGATATAATGGGGTAGGGGACACTTGCTAGAATTTCTCTCAATCATAGCGACATGTCAGTGCCGGCCGAAAGACGCGCAACGCGAAGCAATAATTGATGAGACAGAATAAGGACGAGCTTGGTAAGGTTAATTGCTCGTAGTGACGCTGAATAGTCAACTGATCGGTACATAAGAATGATTGTAGAAAAGAGTTACGTAACAGCGTTCATGTGTATAGCGCGATGCTGATGCATCTTTCGTGCACATATGAAACACAAAGTAACTCTCCCACTGCGGAAATAAGGATTATAGTTTAACGGAAAGATACTGAAACAGCCTAGTTGTTAAGCTGTCTGACAGCAAACCCAGGGTTAGGGGTTCGAACCCGCTTGGTGTCATTTTTGTGGTTTTCGATGCCCGCAGTTCTGTCATTTAAGAGTATTAATTTCCCGTCGTCATTTACCAACAGCAGTTAGCTCGGTCGGTCGGTAAGCTGACTCACAAGTTGGGACTGTCCGCGAAGTCCAGGTTGGCGTCTGCGTATAGGTACGGGGTTCTTTTGCTGACTCGGCAGCAAGGCTTAGGGTGCCACCTCGTTTCCTCCCTTTATGGTGCCTGACTTTCGAGTTACATGGATGGACAGGGAAGGAGGTGTGGTGGGCCGGGTACCGAGTCCCAGAAGAGTTCTATATGGAAGTCGGTAAGGGGCTCATTGAGTTAGGGTCATAAGTCCGACTCCTGAAGACTTGGCCATCGCCACATAACTTTTTGTTTTATTTTCTTTCTTTTCTATCGGAGGACAATTGCAAGAATGATTAATTTGTTATATTGAGAGCTTGTACTGTAATCGTTCGATATCAAGTTTTAAAATTGTTCAAAAATACAAAATTCAGTCCAGCTATAATGTTTTTATTTCATTGTCGCAAATGTTCCCTAATCCCAGACTGCAGGGGGGGGGGGGGTCTTTAAATCCTATATTTTCATTTTTTGAATATGCACAGCTGCAGCTGTCAACCCCCCGTATATGAAGCGACTTCGCGCGGCAGCTTGTGCCGACATGACAGAATGTACAATCTTTTGACAAGGGTTTCAGAACCGGATTTTAGCTTCGCGGAGTTGTGAGCAGCGGTGTTTATAATTTATACATTCTCCACTTTGTTCTTATTCTCCCTTCCTTTCACCTTCCTTCTCCATTCTTCGGAACACTGGTGCCTAGGGCCTGCCGGTGGCGCATCAGGGCCCCTCGAAAGAATAATTAACGTGTAAAAGTCAGAGTTTTTAAAATTAATTTGGTATATTGATTTCTTTAAAAAAAAAAAACCGGAGGAATTTTATTGAAACTGAAAAATTGCATGATGAGAAAGAGAAATATCCTGCCATAAATGGACCTGTCACTTCCGAAACGAAAACTCCCGTGTGGACTCGTGGAACTCAATCACTCGTTTAAGCATGAATATTCATGAAATGATTTTAATAATAGTATCAAACCGTGATCCAAATGAAATCTAGAATCCATCAGATGTAGGTAGGTATTAAAATCTTCGCGTCGTTATCATTTCGTTCTCACGCAAGTACGCGATGTGAAAACCATAGATATAGAACTTAATTTATTCTATGTCCATGGTGAAAACCGACGTGATCGAACAAGGAGACGAAAATAGGTCGTAGGTAAAATTCGCTTTTACCCATTTCCAACTGATTTCTCATCTATTCTGAGGCAATTTTGTCAGTATTATTTATAAACAGATCTTATAACTTAACCCGTTAAAACAGTTGATAAAATTATACACAAATTGATGGATGTGATTTCTGAATGTCATGATTTATTTCTTCCGGTTTTTTTTTCATCTTTGCCGTATCCCAATAATTTTGGACTCGCCAGCCGGGCTACGTAAGGAATAGTTTGACTTGCCCGCCGTTGTTTTGACTAGCATTTGACTAGCGGGCTCCCGCTAATTTCAAACCCTGCCGTCAGGACTATTTTAAGGGATGATAATCTTCTGATGGAAATTTCTGCCAAAGGTCATCAGATTAGATTACCCCAAAACAATTGAAAAGAAAATAGAAGACCATGAAATAAGCTTTCATTTGATACGAGTCTCGAGCACCTTGGAGAGTTGTGAGTTTTTGTCCTGAATTTCTGAAGTGGGGGCAAATTTTAGCATTTGGGTCTATGGCAGTTTATTTACTGGTCTGCATCCCTATGGAGCACCAAGACGTGTGACGAAAGAGGGCGCTGCAGAGAGGCAGCAAGCCGGCCACTGCGTATCAGTCCGTCGCGACCTCCATTATAGTTAAAAAGGCGGGTATGTCTGTGGTTAAAGAGCGTGACCGACCAAGAGGCAAGCCTATCGCTCAAAACCAACCATGCTTTGTAATAATTAGGCAATTAAAATTTGCATTTTTAGCAGACAGGTCGTGCATGACTTATTCCAGAAGCGCCCTTTCCAGCCAGAACACGTGTTGTGTTATTGACCAGCGCTATGAATTGTATCTCATTAGCATTTAAATGTAGCCAGCTCTCCAATGCATCATATCAGTTATAATTATAATATCAAATATTGCAAATCTAACTGAAATCGGTACACAATAATAATTTGAATATTCTGCGTACATCAGGTGAAATATAGGAAAAACATAAACAAATCCAGATGCATGTTGCATCGAGTTACATCCCAACTGCTGTTTGATGTCTGGTTGAGATTGTCGCCCTACGTTAGACGACAAGTAGTATTTTCAAATTTATGTACATTCAAATTGTTTTCAGTGCTAACCGATAAGTTACATTCATATCTTTGTAAAACCGAAGCTTTCTTTTATTATTGTACCCGGTGTTCATTGTTATGACATGTTCAATATAATATACGCTGTTGATACTATCATACTCCTTAATTACTGCTTTGTACATAACTCTTCATACACTTTGCTTTCATTGCTGCCACGAAATAATTACAACAAAGGTATACATTCACAAAACAGGCCTTGTTGAAATAATTATGAACAAAAGATAGTTTCAGAATTATTTTGACGTGTACACGATGAACCTTGTCATGCAACATGTGGTACTGATACCGTACAGGTGCTGATAATAGCTATAACATTGATGGTGGTGGTGAAGATGAAGATAGCAGTCGAGTACGAGTATACCTTACCACGACTGCGATTACGAGTACAAGTAGTGCTACTATTAAGGAAACCTTACTTTGAATTTTCATTTTGCCATTTTTAATGGCATTCCGGTGCCTTTTTGGATTTTATGCTAATGCAAATTTGCATATTATGAGCAAAAATGTGATGTCATTTTAGGCAGAAACCTCAAAGTTACAGCTATTTCAGCACCAACATTTGCCAGAATTTTGGATAAAGTTGCTGTTGTAAATTTTCGTTTCTTTGGTGATTCGTCGTTGTTCCAGTACATACCAGTAGGCCAATGAGCAAATTTTTCTCCAAAATTTGTTCAATGAGCAAATATTGAGTTCGCAAGGTGAACAGAAAAACTATATTTTGAACAGTGTCTTCCTGAAATGACATGATAGCACAACGCCCTTATTTAAAAACAACAACAACAACAACATGGAAAATATTGAATGATTATAGAAGTGCATTTTCACTAACAATCAGTGGCGGTTTTATGGGGGGGGGGGGGCCGTGGGGGGGGGGGCTTTAGCTTAGCCCCCCCCCCAATTTTTTCTAGCCCCCCCCAAAAAAATTCCATAAAAAAAATGCACTAGCAAAATGTAAGAATTTGACGTACATGGGAACGGTCTCCCCCTAAATGAGAAGGGTGCATTTGTACACTTTTAGTTAATATATAGTGTGCCTGATTGTAGGATTTTATCAGCGCTCCCCATTGAAAATATGGCACGAGCCCCCCCCCCCCCCCCCCCCCCAACGTATTGATTTTCAAAGGCCTAAGTGTCCGGAGAAAATATTACCTGTCTACATTTCAGCACGCCTCCCTGAAACAAATTCTGGATCCACCTTGCTAGCCCCCCCCCAAAAAAAAAAAAATATTGGCTCTAGAACCGCGCCTGCTAACAATTAACCAAAAAGGGATGTCAAGTGGGTTCCATACATGTAAGAGGAATAGCGAGGTGCACAAAATATGTTCCAAAGTAAAATGCATGTCATGAACCCTTTTATATAGCCGACTCGTGAATCAAGTCTATCAAGCTATATGCCCGCACCCGCACGGTACGCGTCTACGGCGCGCATATATTATTCAGTATCATAAATACGCTGCTGCAACAGTACATAGGAGTTCAGGTATAATATCAGTCTGATGTGTGGCATCGTCGTGTGAACAATGGAGACAATGGATCGCGGAGGTAAGGTGTTTACAATTCGGAATGTTCTCCTCCCGAGAAATCGGAGAATAAATGACAGACTCTTTGCTATTTTACACTAGGGTGCTATAGATTGATATACTCTAGTTATTCTATTGCAGTCATGGTTTGATTGCATGCGGAATTGTGGAGATGGCTTTGTTTATTCAGGTAGAGGCGTATTGACCTACTGGAAATACTGTTTTGCATTTCAACATCAGGCAATTTATATGATTTGAAAATATATTGTACTGATGTCTTTGATCCATGTCGAACTGCACGACGGTCAAAATAAAGTTAGGATATGATTTTGCTTCACTGATTATTTATAACTTAATTTAATAATTAAAGAAATACATAAAAACCGGGAAGTCTGTGATGTATTTAAATTTCGTGGTTTCTCTCAGTTGAAGCACTAGTCCGTCCCATTTCTTCCTCAACTGCCCCGCCCCCGTATGGATCTGTATTTACAATCTGTTTAAATATTTAGATGCAGATCGTCATGAAATTTCATGTTCTCGTCTTCATTCGTAGCAAATGCACAGTTTGTGTCCCTATATTACTCGTGTTGGCGAGGTAATTATTGACCCATTAATGTCATTGCGTGCGTGCATGCCTCACTGATATTAGGAATTGAAACAATACCAGGAAATACATGATTCTCCATGATGAATTACGAACCGACAAGGCCACTTGCATTTTCAATTCCGTTGCCACGTTAAAGGTGCAAAATGTGTGAAAATTTAAAATAAAAGCCATCCATTAATTTAGATGTTCAGTTCTTTAAATAATTGAAGTCATTTGTGTTCTTAATTATTTCATTTAATTTGGGTCCATAAAAGCATAATTCACAATTAGCATTCAGTATGACTACACACAAAATACACTCATAAAGTGGTTGCTGGTAATTTCGTGGCTCTGCTTAAAATGAAACAACCAATCTATTCTGCTGCTATTTTATGATAATGAGAATTGGCTTAGGTCACCCCGTGCAGTACAGTAGGCTCAGTAATCGCATTTCTTTATACGGGAACAATATAAACTAATATTCATCTATACTTTGAACCTGTCAATATAAATATGAAGATAATACGACAGAGACAATTAGTCTGGAAAAATTAATATTGAATCGTATTAACTCTATTTGATAAAAGCAGCAGTGACCAAAATTATAATACTTCATATTTGGATAATATTAACGTTCAAAGTTTGAACGCCTTATGGTCATTCTATACATTTAAGGCTCAAGTGTGACCTTTTCCCTGAACCTGTCACCACTGAACTTTGGAATTTGGGATTCTATTGTCATTGCAATTGACCTCAAACGATTTTTTATTTGGGAGGTAGTATTTGCTTATCATATTCACCATCGGATGACAACTGCATGAAGGACTGCATACAGCCTGCCCCCCCCCCCCAAATGCTGCAAGCAGAAACGGGCTCTGTGTCCTTGGAATATTGAAAAATATTTCATGATGCTTATATAATGTTAAACCTGGGATATTCAGCTTTCAAATGCTACTTGTTTTATCAATTTTATTTTCTTTTGCCAAACCAGAGATATGGTCCGTTGAACACAAACACTCACAAAATCAATTTGTGCCGCTTTCTACATTGTTAGGCCTAATAATGACATGACAAGACATGGCACCTGTTCAAATCCGACTTCAATTTAGGTTCGCAATTCCAGAAGATATGTGTTTATTATGATGATTTGGAGAGTGTTTTACAAATAATGAACAGAAAATTATAATATGAATAGCAAAAGTGTTTCTTCACCTATTCATTACTTATTGTTTTTCTGCACGATCATACACGTGTATAATACTGGCAATACTGGTGTTTATAGTATCAACTTACGGAAAGTGGCACAAATTGATTTTTGAGTGTTTGTGTTCAACGGACCATATCTCTGGTTTGGCAAAAGCAAAATTTATAAAACAAATAACATTTGAAAGCTGAATATCCCAGGTTTAACATTATATAAGCATTATATTCTTTTTTTTTTTTTAATATTCCAAGGACACAGAGCCTGATTTTGCTTGCAGCATTTTTTGGGGGACAGGCTGTATATACCATTATTAAAATCCTAGATGCGAAATGCAACAGGGGCAGGACAATTATGTACCTCAATTTTATAGAATGATCCACGTGGAAGTACAATTGATGCTGTTGTATTTTCCCCCTTTTGAATCATTATGTAGCCGCTATTTTGCTCAAACCGAAACCTATTCATTAGTATAGACAAATATACTCGGTGCTGTACACTGTGTACGTGTTTCACTAAATTGATCAGCCATTCGTGAACCACCTCTCATGAGCCATTGTCCAAAGACCTTGGTGTTACGCAACAAGACTGTGATGATGTTCTCTTAACGATTTAAAAAAAAATTATGCTCCTGCCTCACGATTTATCCATTATTAATAAGCTGCATTGATGGGTTTGTGTAGTAGGCGCTATTAGCGTTTAAACATGCCTTTGGTGACAATTTCCCAGTGCCCGAGTGTTAAACGAAACACATGCAATATTGTTATTCACTCTCATATTTGGACACAGAATGACTTTTAATATCACGTGGTCAAATGGTACACTGCAATGATTGCATAGAATTGAAATTCATTTTTGTGTCCAGAGTCTGGTGTCCCATGCTCCGGTTGTCTATGGCTTTTTACGGAGAATAAATATTGTAAGCACAAAAGTTGCTAAGTAGGCCTTAGAAAGTTTCCTCGCATGCAGCAAAAATAGGTAACCATCGAACACATCAAATGATTTTTATGTTGCGCGTTAGAGTTGACCATGGTTGGACTGACTCTCCATGTCGGCTCAACAGCTGTTGAATGCAACTGAGAGCTAATAATAATAATAATAATAATATTGGACATTTATAAAGCGCAAACATATCCACCGTGAGGTGCTCAAGGCACTAGGCCTATACATAATTGTATACAAGCAAAACAGCAGCAAAAATAGGTAAACAAAATCAATATGAATTAATAAATAAACCTCACAAGCTAAACTGAAATGGATGACTGAATGAATGATTGAATCATTATTTTTTTATACCGGTACCCACCTGATTTTTTTCTCAGCATCTATATTTGAATTATATTTAAATATAAATTCAGTACAGGGGCGGATCCAGGAATTTTTGCAGGGAGAGGGAGGGGGTTCATCAGCAAAGCAATCTGAAATGTAGACATGTTTTATTATCCGGACACCTGGCATCCGGTGTGTGTGTGTGTGTGTGTGGGGGGGGGGGGGGGGGGGGGGGGGGGGGGGGGGGGTGGGGGGGGGGTCGTACCATACTTTCAATGGGGCGCTGTTCAAATGCGATGATTATTAACACTATATTACAGAATAGCGTACAAATCCCCCACCCCCCCCCCACCCCCTAACCAAGCTGGACGTTATTAATAGCAAAATCTTTTTTGGGTGTCAGAGAGCAGGGAGGGTCGCAATATTTTTAATAAATTTCTATGGACAAAAATTGACGGAGCTGGGGGTTGACCCTCTTGACCCCCTAACCACCCCCATGGATCCGCACCTGCAGTACCCTGACCAATCCAGAACGAAATAAAGGGTTGTGAGGTATGGGGACTCTTCAATCATCCGACCGTTTCAATCTTCAGTCATATACCATTGCTGTTAATGTACATTCTTCAATTAGACAATATTGCATATTGCATAAAACAGATCTGGGTTCTTAATTTCTCAGTAAGTGTGTGAATAAAATTGCGCATTTCATCGATGTTTATAAATTGCGAGGTGAACGCATTTTGTACCGTTTTGAAATACAGTTAGCCGGGGTTAGCATATTTTGAATCTCATTAGGTAGATGCGGGAGTTGTGCGTTTTCAGAAATATCCAAAATGATTCTAATTCAAAACGGTTGGATGTATGGTTCAGCATGTTCCATTTTCGCCCGTCTAGTACACGATGAGCCTGCTTGCGATTCCCAAAGGAATATACGCTCTGTAAACTATAAACCAACCTCATTAATATGTTCACATTAAGTAATACATTGAGAGGTGAACAAAGTTTTTGCTATACCGTTTGGAAATTCATGTAGCTGGGGTAAGCATATTTGAATCATATTAGGCAGACGCGGGAGTTGTGTATTTTCAGAAATATACAAGTGCATTCAATTCCAAACGGTTGGATGTAAGGTTCAGCATGTTCTATTGCGCCTATCTAGTACACGATAAGCCTGCTTGCTATTCCCAAAGGAATACGCTTTGTAAACTATCACCAACCTCATTGATTTGTCCACCTAAAAATAATAATGCATTGTAAATTATGCAGCGGAGGCAAAGATAACATGTGTTATATCAAACATCGAACACACGGTCCTTTGGGCAATTCTGGATAATTGAGAGGTTACTTTTCATGCTGAATCACTCAATTACACAAATTAGTCGGGGATCACCGTCAGTCTACAAAACCACACACAGCTTTTAATTCGATGCACAGTTGCGAATTTAGGTTCTCCACACTGGAAGTTGTTATTCAATCTATATTTATTGCAACTGGACAAATTTTGAAATGATGATAATAAATGTAGTAGTGTAAGTAGGCTTACTCTACAGGGTGAGTAAAACAAAAGGGAGACCAAAGTGGCAGGACTAATTAAAAAAAAAAATTCTGCATGTAGCACTACATAAATCTAGAAAATGAAAGCTAAATTATAAGCTTACTTTTAGTACAAGAATCATTCAAATCACTTATGTACTTTTCAAGTTTTAGGAATTTTAAGCACAGCCACATTTTTAAAGACCCCTCTGCCACTTACTGGTCTGTATTCATCAGATATTCAATAGACGAATATAGTAATTGAGGATATATATTTTTTTCCAATCCTTTCAACAAAAGACAGTGCAGTTGAGGCCCTCGGCTTCCGTGCCAATTTGAAATTCCTCTATTGAGACTTGTTTTAACTCTGCAAGAGATTAAAAAAAGCTCGTTTAAAGTCCCTTGCCCGAGCGGGGGCGTGGTCGAACTCCCACCAATATTAGTCTTGCTTGTCTGGATTGACACTTGCCTCTGCTTTCATCCTTTGTGTGCGTGTGATGGTATACAATCTCAATAAACTTTATTATCAAAATAGACTGGGAAATAAGAAACACCAAAAACAGTTTAGGGTTGACCTAGAACTGTCCCATCCTGCACTGTGCATGCTCTACATAAAACTGTCGCACACTTGCTGGTTGGGTAGCAACATCTGTATATTTATACTAGCCCACTACACTGTACACTCTAAAAAAAAACCTCCTGGGTCAGAATTGACCGAAAATCTGAGTCTATATCTGCACAGTCCTATTCCAGTTCAAAAATGACACTTTCCTGGGTAAAATGAAACTTTTCCCTGTCAAAATGACGTTTTTTTTCTGGACCTTTTTCGACTTAAAAAAGTGTCTTTTTTTTTTACCCTGAAAAGGACTGTTCAGATATAGACTCATATCAAGGTCAACCTGACCCAGGAGTTTTTAGAGTGTACACGTGTGTTTATTTTATAGTTTTTGCCTTCAAACCAACCCATAATGTTTAATAATTATGTAGATGTTACACTTGCGGGCATCCGGGAGCATATATTGCTATATCATTTGTTTTCCTTTTCATGAGTAAATTTGCTGGTATACTTAAAACTCGGATTCCCGACAAGGACAATTTCATGGCAATGTTTATGATAGTTCAACAAATGGTTAAATTTTTTGGTGTGGGGTTCGTCATGTCGGTCTGAGAATCAGACGTTTACGTGTGCAGAGCCACACTATAAACATTTGATTACGTGCAAATGTATTTTTTTTTGCGACCCCCGCGTCGGCCAACCAGAGCCGCCTGTAGAAGTTGTGACGTCGTTCAGCGCAGAAATTCGGCCAGAGCTGTTGATTGGTCAGTAGCCGTAATACTGTTGTGATACAACATTGGGCTACCAAAGACAAGACCGAAGGCACCCGCTGAATGGTCAAAATCTGGAGAACAAGACGCAGATATGTTTTGCATAATTTGCACGAATATCACAGACTATACACGTCAAATTTAGGGATTTTTGTAACGAGAGAATAGAACCAACATGCCAACATATCAATGGATTATTAAACCACCAGACAGGCAAAGGTTATCCTTAATCTTTACTATTTGTAACTATACCAGCACATTTAGCGTTGTTCAATGCCACAGGCCTACGCGAAACATTTGTTTTCTTCTGACTACCAACAATAAACAATGTAGCGACGTTTGTCGGAAGCATTTTTACAACATCAGGATATGTTAATAATTATATTGTATTATTTTCATTGTCAAACTTCCTAAATGTCACTTTTAGACGATCGTCAAATCTTCTGCTTGGGAAGTACGTTGAACCAACGATGGTCAACATTGCAATGAATTAAAATCCATATAGAAATGTTCTTGCAACGTTGCTCAACATTGCAACAACTTTTGTGTTAGCTCATATTTGGGCAACAGGCTGACTGCACTATGTTGAACACTAATATTCGGCTATTCCGTTTCTGTATAGTATATGAGCCTAGTCTGTTTTCAAGGAGCATAAATGCTGGCGGAGTCGTCTAGTCTGGTTTTCAAGACCTACGAGCACATTCTTGTAAACGGGCGTGGCAAAATATAGGGTTCCGTTTGCACTTGCATGTCGTATCAGCAACGTTGAACATTGGACGTTAACCCCCTAGAACTCAATGCATATTTTATAACAATTTACTCATTTACTAATTTATCAGTTTCAGAATTGACGTGCATGGCATGATATGTTAATTTCTGGACCATATGGATTATATAAGTGTAAACGCTTCGGGCAATATATGGTTTAAACTGAAAGGTCAGTTGCTAGGCAACCAATGCTGATTTTTCGCTTGGCGGAGTGTGTGGCATATACCTTAAGAGTAATAGCAATAGGAGAGTAATTATTGTTGACCTTTTGACAGATTTTAAATTGTCACTGAAACTTTAGTTTCCAGTGCTGTCTGTTGTTGAGAGGATTTAAAAAGAAAAGGTTCCCAATGTCATACAATGGCTTTATAGCATCGAGTGCTTCGGCTTCAATTCCAATTTGAAATTCGTCTAGGTTATGCAGGAAAACAGTTCAGTGACAGGAAACAATGGGAGACTTTTGAGACGTTGGTGGCAGCAAACACATCGGTCCTTTTCCCATTGTTTGCGTCATATTGGGCATGCGCGCTTTAGCTTATAAATGACGCAAGCAATTGAAAAGGACCGGTGTATTTGCTGCCACCAACGACTCAAAAGTCTCCCATCGCCGATGTGATGTATTTAGTACTTGTAGTCCTGCATATGCCACTGGGTGGAAGTCCCGACCCCTCTCGGCCCACCTCTTATTAGCTACATGGTTTCTACGGTTTAGTAATCATTTGCAGACAAGAATAAATGCTCCTTGATTTTAATTCGGCCTTAAGTGCATCGGGTTAAAATAAAACGATCTACCAAATTGTCCGGAAGTTGTACCTAGCTCAACCATTAATACAACCACAACCAGCAGAAGAGTTTGATTAAACAAGCCTTCAAACAGTGCATTTCAATCGTGCAGCCTCGTAGCACCGCGTTCCATGGAACGCTTGTTCAATTTAACGAGGTTGCTTCAATCTGTGAGTTTGTGTCTGTTGTGACAAAGGGACCTTTTGACAGCGAATTGTAAATTTGAGTTTACTTGCAACACGCATCTTTTTGAGTACCCTTCCTCTTCGGGGAAGGTGACACATTTCGGACAATAACTCCTGTCTGAAGTCGGCCAAAGAAGCTGAAGATATCCATGGTTGTCGATGACATCGTATTGAATCGACTGTATTTTGGAATGGTCAATGATAATGAGTGGATCTGGGCATGATTAATGATTAAATTTTCATACTTTGGCCTCATTTGCATTTTATGAAATGTTGCCTTCATATTGTTGTACAGTAAAGAAGAAAGAGGTGTTCCAAACCTGCTGTAATTTTTGTTCAAGCCATAAAGCAACACATTTAACTCAAAAGTGCTTCTGGTGACTTCCGACTGTTTTTTTTTAGAGGGGGGAGGGGGTGTGTTAATTGTTCACATTAGTTTCATTTCAGATTTTATTTATTGAATCTTATATTTTTAACAGGAAAGGAAAAGCTCTCCACATTCCAGAAAGATGCGCTGTCCGCACACAACAGGTACCAAACTGTTTCTTCTCTTGTTTTAACAATGTTCTCCTTTTTTAATTTAAGATGTTCTCTGATACACCTATAGTTTTACTTTTAAGACATCGAGTTTGAATTCGAATAGTTGAAAGGACATTTCCTGATCAATAAAATCCAGCTGCTTGCTGTAATACCAATCTTAACAAAAATAACTTCACATAGGCCTTCATCCCTGTGAGAATTGTTTTCGATTTGCTGAAAGAACACTTACTTTTTGTGTGATCCGTGGACAGAAGTTTAAAACGGTCTTTATATTCAAAATTCCATAACTTGAAAAGAACATAAGCGATTCAAATGATTATTGTACTAAAATAAAGCTTGAATAACTGGGCTTTCATATCCTATATTTTGAAGGTGCTACAGGCAAAACGTCTTTCGCAAATTGGTACTGCCATTTGCGTGGGGCTACTTAAGAATTAGAGCCTATGTGAAAAAACAGTGAAATTTTACATGGTTGGATGAGTCCATGAAGAACACTGCTTCTGTGGAGACAAAATGCGACGATTCATATTATGCGAATCCGTACCGTACACGTGATTGCTGCACACCCACGAGGCCTCCTTCAATAAAGACACCATATTGTGTGTAACAAGAGTTAATGGTCACATGGCACAGCGCCCTCTGTACGTGACCTCAGTTTAGTACACACACACACTGGAGTATAGAAAGGTCACACACCCACACATATATGATGGCTAAGACAAAGGAATGAGACTTGAGAGCACATGGTTAAGAATAAGAGTTAGACAACCCAATACTGTCACAGCCAACAAATGAGTTTTGTGTGAATCATTATTCTGACTTGAAGATTACAACATTGTGCACGCATGCGCAATTGTACAAAGCACTGCCTCGTGGCGGATTATCAGAACTATACCTATACTAAATTGCTTTCTACATTGAAGGGGGCCTTCGTGATAGAAGTGATAGGGTGCCTGGATTGGTTTAAAGGTAGTATGCAACATTTGCCTTAATGCTGTAATTTTCAGAAATGGATGGATTTGAGGGAACATATTTTATAGCAAATATCGTTACACTGACTAGTTTGAAATTTTGTGTTCGAAGATGCTGGAAAAACCAAGAAAAATAATCATGTTCCTGTAGTCTGGTTCCCTGACCCAACTGAAGATGAAACAGAACAATTTATATACGTCAGGGAATTGTAAGATCAGAGAATCGTTCTAGCTGGCTTGTACCCGTTCGTAGGTGTGTAATCGATTGTAAATAAAGTGCGGAATAACTAAATATGGTAAATTGAGGGCAGTATTTGAAAGAAGGCCTGTTTTTATTCCAGCGTTGGAAATTAATACAAAAATGTCACTTTTCTTGAAAATGACAGCACACAAGATCCTATGATTATACAGGATGCTTTAGACTGTTATTTTCTAACAGTCCATTGGCCCTAACAGTCCTGAATCCTCCAATTTCAATATGATTTTGCGTACCCCCAGGGGGTTAGGGTTTTAAGGAATTTCATAAAGTAATTTGGTAGTTTTGGTTTTTGATGTTTGCAAACGTTGTATATTCCTTTAAGTTAAAGTAACGTCCAAATCACTAAAATGTTTATTTATCGTACCACCTGAATCTAGATTGATAAGCAAATATTTTTTCTTCACTCTCAATACTAAGTTTATATGTACAAATTCACAGATATCGAGAAAAACATGGCGTCGGAACACTGAAGTTAAGCGATGACCTTTGCGCGCATGCGCAGCAGTGGGCCGAGCACCTGGCCAGCACAGATACGTTCAAGCACAGCAACAAGGACTTTGGGGAGAATATTGCCATGAATTTCAGCAGCCAGACAACAGAATATACAGGTAACAGTTTGTAAAATATAATTCGTGCTGATTTGTGAGACATAATTTCACCCTGAAGAAATTTGCTCGATCCTAGATAATGTTCGTACTTCAATTCTTGCAATGCACTTTTTTTCATCAATGGGTCTGTTGCAAATGTAAAGAGGGGAATAACAAATGTCCCGGTTATTAAGCACGGTAGGAATCACCTGTTGTTGACACCATTCAGTTTTTGCTGGTCCCACACGGCCAGTTTTATAGTCCTCTAGGTATCTATCTGACTTAGTGACTGAATGACTGAAGACTGACTTACCCACTGACCCACTGCGACTTGAGGCAGCCTGGTTCACTGATGATGAAAGCCGAGCCGTGCTATTGTGTAGGATACCCCTTAGTTAATAGGCTAAATCATCTGTGTACACCAGATGCATTCATATACTTCAGTAAATATCATCTCAGAATCAATTGCAAGGAATGTGTGCACTCGCGGACCAGCTTACTGAGCTTGACCTAATCGTCTTGTACTTTCAGTGACCCTGCATTAGAATTTCAGTATATTATACTCTCAGTCGAACGCTGATAAGAAGAGCTAGCACTGTTAATACAACATCCTTCTTATAGCAAGGACAATGTTAGGTCCCATGTTTTTCGTTGTTTTCCATTACTGATAATTATCTGTTATAACAACGTAATTTGTAAAGTCCCAAGGACCTCGATAGAAAGGTGTTTTACTGTACAGGAAATCCATCAGGCTACAATGTTTCTCGATGGATGATTTGTTTTTGGTTTCTCCTTGTTGATTGGCCAGGCCAGCAGGCGACTGACCAATGGTATTCCGAAATCAAAAAGTACAACTTTGGCGCAACCGGGTTTCAGTCGGGTACAGGTAAGCAATCGACAGTACTTTACAAACAGGTCGAGTCAGAATGATCTGGACCCAAATCAAAGAAAATGTAAAAAAAAATATGTAGCACTTATCAAAACAAGTGCAAATGAGATTTGGTATAGGCTGGTATTTTGCATATATCTTGTTAAAGTGTCATGTATATATATACACACTGTACCATTTTGAAGGAAAGCGCTAACATAAAACACACGCTACAAAAACCACTTTGACCACAGTTCCATGGTTCAACAAATTTATTGAATTCGCACGCTGAGGTGAAGCAGTGTAATAAGAAGCCAAAACCTCATGGTGACTGACTACATGAAGTTAATTACACATTTAAAAAAAAAGGCAAAACCATTCGTGTGCGGCCTAGAAAATGAGTCACACCACAGCCACTAATTTGAACAAGACACGGTTAAATAGCCATTCATAATTATGAACACGAAGTTTTTTGTCAATGTACTCTTTCATTTGCCGCAAAAAATGGTGAGCTTTGGTCCAGATCGTTCTGACTCACCCTGTACATGTATTGACATAAAGTCTTGAGTGTACCGACCGATTAAATGACATAAATCTTGCTGAAAGTGGAAAAAGGACTGGTTTTCAAATACTCTGTGATTTACTCTGTCCGATCAAGGGCGGATCCAGAACACAGTTTTTTTGGTCCCTTAAAAGTGTGTCCAAAAATTTCTACGTGGAGTTCGGGGAAATATTTTTTGATTGTAAATCCTCTGTGGTGCGATCTGAGACAATTTCTGACCACTTTAACCAATGTTTTTGAGGTTTACTCATTGCCTGCCTTTTTATTGTGAAGTAAACCTAAAAAACAAACAAAATTGAATTCGTTTCTTTTTTTGTGGGGGGAGGAGCCATGGTCCCATTTGCCCCCCCCCCCGATCCGCCCTTGTGTGTGATATGGTATCGTTTGTAAGGATAACATCACAATGACGGTGGTTTCAAAACAGTTTTTTTAAACTTCGGCTCCGCACGGTACCGTAATGTATCCCTTTAATCCCACCGTGAGAACATCTCGAGGACTACACTGACTTTTTTTATTAACACAACGTTTCAGGTCATTTCTCTCAAGTTGTCTGGAATGACTCCAAGGAAATGGGTATCGGCAAAGCGGTGGCCAAAAGCGGCAAGGTTTATGTTGTGGCCAACTACCGACCGGCAGGGAACATGATGCGCGCGTACCAGGAGAACATCTTCCCTCCACGAAGCGGCCCGACGGACACCAGCGCGGGCAGAGAAGATGGCGACACGAGAAGGTCGCCGGGCGAAAGGGTGAGTGGCTGAAAGTAGTGGGGATTCAGGATTCTGCTGTGAAGTCTTGTATTATAAGTGACGAAACCAACAAGACACTTGTGGAACTGGAGAAATGTACATAATGTGTGGTTTTACAAAGTTCATTTAACCCTCCGAGCTTCAAGCCCAAAAACTTTATGAGGAATGGCCACGGGTAGAATTTTATCACCACACGTGTTTCTAGGTCAATTATCCCCGCATGCCTGGACATGCACAAGATATAGGTCATTAACATCGTCCAGGATTGTTTACAACCTGTCTGAGCTCTGGGCGGCACGAGGGGTTGACACAAAGAGATCGGCGCACTTACGGGTGCAGACCAGTAAATCGGTCCGAAATTGCCTGCGCCGGCCAAATCACGATTTGCATGCCCTCAAAATCTTCGGTATTTGGGCATGCTTTGGGCCATGAACTTGAGGGTTTGTAAAAAATATGGGTGGAAGCCGTGCACAGGACTGGGAGCTTGCAGTTCTGTGTAATTTTGATGTAATCTGGACCCTAAGAGCGCTCTATTTTGCAATGGAGTGTAGGCATCGTTTTTCAAAATGGCGCTGGGCTTCAGGACTATTTTCAGGGGTGATCATCTTCAGATGGAAATTTCTCCTAAAAGTCATCAGTTGACCCCCCGAAAATTGAAAAGAAAATGAAAGATGATGAAATAAGCTTTAATTTGATGTGCGTCTCGAACACCTTGGAGAGTTGTGAGTATTTTTCCCGAATTTTTGAAGTGGGAGCATTTACCATTGGGGTCTATGGAAGTTTATTTACTGGTCTGCTACCTGTAGTTTCAAAATGGCGCCTTCCATCGTTTGTTGTCAAATGTTTGCGGAGTGTTTTTTTCTCAGGGGGGCGGAACCTGGGGGGGGGGCAGCGTTTCAAAAGGGGTCACCAATGGCGGTTCCGCAACAAATGCGCCCAAAATCTGAATAGGGCCGATGGACCGTCGTCCGATCACAGCAATTTCGAGCGAACAGGGGGGGGGGGGGGGGTAATTTGGGGTCGGAAGGAGCAAAAACTCAATTAACGCCCGTTGGGGGCGCCCTACAGTAAGGTAGCCGCAAACAGAGGGCTTGTTTTCAGGCCAGAAATCGCAGTCAGAGATTTTTTTTCTTGCAATTTTTTGATGAAATATGAGTCATCCATCCTTCCTCGTGCCGTACAAGTGGTTTGGGGAAATTTTTCAAAACCTCGCTTCTCTATAGGGTGCAGACCAGTAAATCGGTCCGAAATTGCCTGCGCCGGCCAAATCACGATTTGCATGCCCTCAAAATCTTCGGTATTTGGGCATGCTTTGGGCCATGAACTTGAGGGTTTGTAAAAAATATGGGTGGAAGCCGTGCACAGGACTGGGAGCTTGCAGTTCTGTGTAATTTTGATGTAATCTGGACCCTAAGAGCGCTCTATTTTGCAATGGAGTGTAGGCATCGTTTTTCAAAATGGCGCTGGGCTTCAGGACTATTTTCAGGGGTGATCATCTTCAGATGGAAATTTCTCCTAAAAGTCATCAGTTGACCCCCCGAAAATTGAAAAGAAAATGAAAGATGATGAAATAAGGTTTAATTTGATGTGCGTCTCGAACACCTTGGAGAGTTGTGAGTATTTTTCCCGAATTTTTGAAGTGGGAGCATTTACCATTGGGGTCTATGGAAGTTTATTTACTGGTCTGCTACCTTACAGGTTGACCACTAAGATCTCCAATTACTGCACAAAGGCATTAAGCGCCATCTTGGCTTCTGTCTTTCAACACTACTTACTCTGGAGTGGCTAAGGTCTGGCCCATGGGAGTCTACAGGCTTGTGGTGTATAGTAGGGGTGAGGATTACATGAAAGCTTGGCCTAATTGACCCATTGAAAAAAAATTATGACCATTATTTTGAAAATATCATTTAAGGATCACAGAAAGTAATTCCAGTCGATCAAGAGAGGTTTGGAACATGGTTTGAAGCTAAAGAAAGACCTAGAATCTAAGAGCTAATTCCCTCGGAAATTTGACTTTTGGAAAGTAAGTGAACAGTTGTGGTAATGGCCGAGATTTGAAGATCAGATTAATGCTGGGAGTAATTGCAGAATACCGCCACTCGGAAATACACCCCTAAATTATCTGGCTACGAGGTTGGAATCACTGGAAAAGTCCATGCCAGCTTCGCGGATACTGAGTGGGGGTCCATTATTTGAGAACGAAGCAACACAAAAGGAATGGGAGTTGCTGAAAAAAAATCTAAGTCCAAACCAACTACCCTGTTGGCGGCTAGCGATATTTTTTATTACACAACTATCTGGGGTACTTTACGCGCTTTCCTATGGAGCATGGTTTTTATATAAACCAGGCTTGTGTGGAGGCTACTATTTTTCAACTTGGTGCGGATTTCGGACTTTATTCTACGCGGCGCTCTACAATCCTATAACCTTGATTCAAGTCGCCTGAAAAATGGTAACCCTGTACTATTGTGTAAATAAAAAATTCGCCGGCGGCTACGCGGTTACGAAGTGGGAGTGCAATGGAGCGTGAGGCATCATTGCAGTCAATAGGAGCTCACCGCAATACAACAACAAAAAATATACAAGAAAAACCTGTTTTTATATCAATTGTTCCACCCGAAATAACCGTGACCTCGTAGCCGGCTGCGTAATTTTTTTTCCTAGGAGGGTTAGGGGCAATGTCATGAATAATTCAGGGCTTTTTTTTTTAATCATTGCAAGACTTAGGTTCTCGTTCTATTTTCCCCTTAATTTAAAAGTATCTCAGTGATAAATTTGGAGAAGAAAAATAGCTGATGAAAATGAGCAGCGACGACGTGGATTCGAACCAGGGATCTTTGTATCCATAAGCTCATCTCGCTATCCACTAGGCTATTGTGTGATAGCTCGACGACAACCGTTCTTTAAAATGCTTTAATGTATTGTAACTAGTTGAGTAACTAACAACAATGCTGTTGATGTCATTGTCCGTTCTCATGGATAAACATGAATTATTCATGTCATTGCCCCTAACCCTCCTAGGAATAAAAATTACGCTAGCCGGCTACGACGTGGATAGATCGAGTGGCGGGGTATTCTGCAATTGTGCCAATTTGCCAGCATGGAATTTAGTGTTTAAGGACGGCGTGGTAGTTCGTCTGGCGTTGATAGTGATAGTACAAGACCTGGGTCGTTCAGGCCATGTTCAGGAGGAGCCTGACCGTTAACGACATAGGCAGTCATGTTAGCAGAAAAGGTGATTAAAAAAAATGAAGGGAAAAGAGACCTAGCGGTGGTCGTCTGGTGACTGAGCAATAAAGGTTATGTGAGAAGAGGCGGGGCGATAATGTATCGTCTATGGTCTCAATAGTACCATGACACAACTCGTGTGTAGTCCCCACAACTACGGAACAAGTAAGTGCATGTGCTCTAACCTGACATACTCTTTGCGGACATGTGAACAAAAGAGGTCCACAGGATGCAGGAAGCGTAAACGCTTTGTGGACATGCACACTTCCACACTAGCCCCCCCCCCCCACCCCCATGCGCACGGGAAGCGGTCATGGCCGCTGCCGCTAATCCTGGGGTATGCCGTGGCACACGGCTAGTGGGTAGTTCCACAGCTGCTGCTTTTGTGCAGTCCCGCTACCACACAAAGGCTGTGCAGTCATGCGGGCCACTTGCTCTATGTGTGGAAGAATGTCCCCATTATAACACGTCCTTAAGAGGTTAACAAACACAAATACATAGGAATGTGTACAGCATATTTGTATGTAAGGTAAGACTGTGTGTGGGTCATGGGTGTAGGAAGTTTTTGTACTGTTAGGCAAATTAGGACCGAGTAAAGCGGACTTTCTGCTGTCCTCATCGGTCCCCTTAAATACCTAGTATACATGAGTGTATGTCCCCACAACTACTGAACAAGACTTTACGTGTATAGGTGGATTTGTTTATGGTGTAAATCGAGGACATGTGAAGCATCACCGAGTAATTGAGGACAGGAGTCAAATCGAGGACGACCTCAATTAAAAAAAAAGTGTGCAAAACCATTGCAATTTAAAAAACAAAACAAAACAAGAGAAAATCCTTAATTTTCAGCATATCAAACCTGTGTGTGGGTGTGTCTATATGGGCTGTATAGGCAATATTTTATCCTGCCGATGACGTCAAAGCCAGAGGGTTTTAAGGGGTGACTCGGGCACAATAATGGTTGTGCGTCCTGCTTGCAACAACGAGGTTGTTCTTTTTTTTTAGCTCGTACTGAACAAAATATGGTTTGTATGAGCCTTTTAAACAATGTAACTAGGCCAGTGTTGTTTTTTTTTGATATTTTTATTCAGGAGTATTTTATTTTTGTTTTCAGGAGCATGGGCTCTACGACAAGAAGGAACAGGATCGGGCTGGTCACGGTATCGGCATTGCCGTGACCCAGTTCCAGAAAGACGCCCTCATCGTTCACAACGAATACCGATCTAAGCACGGCGTTGATTCGCTGATGCTCTCCGGGGATCTGTGTAAGAGTGCCCAGGAATGGGCAGATCACCTTGCCCAGACGGGCCGGTTGCAGCACAGCACGCGACATGGTATCGGGGAGAACGTGGCCATGCATTATTCATCCGCTACTACCGAATACTCAGGTATGACAGACATCAACCTTACAACACTTGTATGAAGTTTCTGAATCTACATTCCCCATTCAAAGTTTTGCCTTTACCGCAAGCTATACCACAGGAATACGCAAAACCATTTTCTCAAACGTAAACTCTTTACCCATGCACACTTGACTTTATGGCTGCAGACAAGTACATAAAAGTGTCATAGACTCCACTGAGAAATACGCCCACTTCCGAAGTGAAGGAGAAATACTCACAAGTTTCCAGGGTGTTCAAGATTAACTTTTTGGGGAGGGGAGTTCCATCCAAAGATTATCACCCTTAAAAGTAATCATTTTGAAAAGTGAAACATGCACTGCATTGCAAAATAGATCAATTGCAGGGCACATTTTCATCCGAAGTTCACGGCTTCCACCCTTCCTTCTTTACAAACCCTCAAGTTCATGGACCACAAGATGCTCTAAATAGGAAGAAGATTTGAGGGCATGCAAATCGTGATTTGGTCGGCGTAGGCAATTTCGTGCTTGGGCTGCAACCTTCAAGGGGTTTTATGAAGTACCCATTCTGATCATTTGCGTTGCAGCCGTCTTTGTGCTGCGGGCATGCACCGCTCCAGCGGGGATATTATAACCCGTGAGGTTATATAGACAAGGGAGACAGTAAGAGACGAAGTTGTACTTGAGCTGATGTGGTTTATACGGTTGGCTGTGACGCTCTCTGTCTGATTTCGAGATTCTACTGAGTTTTTTATACAGTAAACGGACATTCCAATCTTACAGCTATCTTACAGGTTTCTTGCCTTATTAGGAATTGTTCACTAACTATTGAATATTAATACTACAGAATTGAAGGTGCTTGGTCAACTTGTATCTGGGGGCGGGGCTAGGCATATTAATAGAACAATCGGATTTCCTTATAAATCTGTGGGCTGAATCACCGTGGTGCAGCCCAGCATCCACCCACGCGGACCTTGTGGCTAAACTGGCCATTCCTTAGATGTGTCTCATTACCAGGAAAGGGGTCCTGTTCCTTGAAGGTCAACCCATACAACTTATTCAGTAAAATAAAACATGGTGATAATATGTATTCATTTTTGCTGTTCATCTAAAAAAAAGTGCACAACAGATATATTGAAGACATTTACTTCTGCTTTCTTGCTATTGTAATATCATACTCCATGGAGTATGCATGACATGATGCGACGTTTATGCATGGAATGAGTTATGCATTGGATCCAATTCTAACTATTATTACCGATTTTACGTTGTAGCCCACCACCCGCAGTATGTAAATTCCAACTAACACACTCGCAAACTTTCTCCTAGAATCCTCTTCACATCCTGTCACGATTGATCCTGTAACGATTCGTCGATCCAAATGCTAGATCCTCTTTTGTCTATTCGAGAGGAACACCTCTAGTTGTTTTCAGAGCTTCTCCTCTTTATGACAGTGGTATAGGGTGACGTGCGATTATTGTGATTATGCTTGGTGTATCCGCTTAGACTTCTCCGAAATTGTATTCTCCACCGTTTACAGCCTCAGATAGCTGCTTTCCCTATACACCATTTCTAAGAGTACGAGGGCTACCAAACTTTCGTTAGTCGGATTTCTGTGGTTTTTTTTGTTGGTACTTGACAGGCAAGCAAGCGTGCGACCAATGGTACAGCGAGCTGAGCAAGTATAACTTCGAGAAACCAGGCTTTGGAAATGGAACAGGTCAGGAAAATTCAATTTCTAATCATGAGTATTTGATGCATCTGATGAAGTAGTTGTAGCTACGAAAGCTAAGATTATGAACACTTTCACCCCTAGTTATAGTCATTTAAAGTGGTACATTACTTTTTCATTTGATTCTGCCTGACTAACATGGCTCCTCACCACTTTTATTTTTGTTCATGAATTTATGTTAATATGCTTCCAGTGTTTATTGTGATGTTTTCTTGATGGCCAGTAAATCCTTCTCGTAAAATTTACAAATCATGTGAAATATTCAAGAAAAAGAGAGAGAGAAATTTGGCGTCGTATTATCAAGACTTTGCATTGTCTGTCCACAAAATTGGAATGATGGTGTCCATTGAAGCATTAATTTCGCTTTTTTGGGGGTAATGTGATACACAATAAAACAGTACACCGTACACTTCAAATGTTAGTTAATATAAGTTCAGGATTGACAATCTGTAGCCGAAGTGAATAATGTCCGGAAAATACTAAAACCTGGCAACTTATTTAATGATACCCTTTCAAAAGTATACTATGGTAGTGTCTACTTCCACTGGACCCACGCTAGAGTTATATTCACAGCCAATCCCAGCATGCTATCAATTCTATCACGATGGCCCCCTTCAGTGGCGAAAATGATAGCTTTTGTTGTTTTGAACAATAGCTTACACAATAGGTTTGTTTCCATTAAAAGGGATCCTCATGAGCATTCAATAATCACGTGCCAGAATTCGTCTATTTATCTCTTCAATCCACCTGGAAAGTATTGGAAGAAGTTACATCGAGCACAAAGACCGCACAGTATACATTTTCATTGTAACTCCATACAATAGTAAATGGCCCATGGAAAACATTATTTATTCCATTTCTTTACCCAGGGCATGCCCAAACAGTTTAAAACTGGTTTCCATTGGGGCCCTGCATACAATAAATAATGACTACAGACATGTATAATTATACAATACATTACAGATACAATAAAATTCAATACAGTGAGATAAAATATTATTTGAATAATGCATAGGTGTTTAGCAAATATTATAAATACAATATATTTTAAAACTATTATAACTACATGTACAGTATGAGTGCTTTACTATAAAGTTGATTCAGTGAACACGAAAAATTTGGATCTATCTTGTAACATCAAGAAAAGAAAGAAAAAAAATATTGCTGTAACTATATTCGCTGATTACGGGAGGGGCGAAAACCCCACAAAAAACCTTTTGGGAGAAAACACTGGGAAATTCCCATCCTGCCCCTTATAATCTTCTTATTATTATGGCAACCAAGTTTGTTAACTCCGTAGATCAGCACACGTCTAGATTTGTATAATCAGAGAAGACAGCGGCAAATACACAAATAATTATTTGCAGAAATATTATTACTGACTGAACGTTCATGCAGGTCACTTCACACAGATGGTTTGGAAGGAGTCCAGGGAGTTTGGCATCGGTAAAGCGGTGACTAAAGACGGCAAGGTCATGGTGGTTGGCCAGTACCGACCGCCTGGTAACGTGGTAGGACGGTACGAGGAGAACGTGTTCCCACGGTCGGACGACTACCGACCGTCACCCAGTGCTGCCCAGACATCTAAGGTATAATAAGTTAGTTAGGTATTCTGGATGTACTAGTACAATTTTGGGAATGTTTTACTTGCTTCAAAATAAGAATATTTCTCCAATTCCGTTGGTACCCACACGTTTACCTGCGTTAGGCCAAAAAAAAAAGTCTCCGGTTTCTGGTATGCGCGCGCGTCGCCGTCGCCATGCGCGTCGGCAAAATGAATTTTTTTTTTCAATGAAAGATGATGTCTCAAAACCGCCAAACTCACTGGTTTGACTGGAATCCTGCTGCTGCACAATTTTAACGTGTTCTTAGATTGGGTTATGGTCGAGAATAAGTTTTATGTGGCCTCTCTGGACTCCCATATATTTGCTCTAAGTTTAGTCGGGCACCATTTGCAGTCATCAGCACACATATGAAGCAAAAAAAATCAGGTAAAAAACAAAAAAAGGCCGCGTCGCCGCACCACTTTTTGGACAAGCTCCATACCAGAAATCGGAGACTTTTTTTTGGCCTTAAGCGGGATTTGTAACAATTCCGATTCGCACTTATGGTATAGGCCTAAGTGCTACTTGTAAACAATATAGGTGCATCCTATAATGCAAAGTGACCCCAATTTCAGTTTGTGTAGTGGGTTGCAGTTTCATGCAGTAGTTTGTTTAGTATAATCCAAAACCCTTTTGTAAAAAAAAAGGAAAATGTTAAGACACACCGTTTGGTATTAAAGAAAAGTAAAATAATTTCAGATTCTATTTCGTAGAAAAAAATCCAGACAGCTCGATGTTTTATATGTTATGTTACGATTGATTATAATAACTTTTTTATTTCCATTTTGAAGGTAACTCGAGTTGTTCGTTCTACGAAGTATGTGACTGAGCAGTCGCCAGATGATGTTACCCGAAAGGTAATGATAGTCCCCATTTACACACAAAACCAGACATGTAGGTATCTTCAGTAGCGTTGTTGCCAGATATGTGCTTCTGTCTTTAGTTTGTTATTTGATAATTATTTTTTATACAATGCCTGAATAAATCCCCTTCATCTAATTGGTGAGTCGTCGATCACGTGTCATTTAATTATTCGTCCCAAACGCAAGTTGCGGCCGCACCGCAAAAAAAAAGGTTAATGTAAAGTTCCATTCCGCGGTCACACTATTGGTTGCGATTTAACCGAGATTGATTGCTCTGATGCTGCACATTCAAAGTACCACTTTACAAGTTACCAATCAGATGACGAGGATTTATTCAGGCGTTATGTTCCATTCTTACCATTGCACTCATAAACATTCATTATTTGTATAATATCTGTTGATTTCGTTCATTACTGATTCTTGAAATAACCAGACTTGAGGTATTTCCTGAACCTCTACTTTGTCCAACAAAAGATTGTGGAGTTAGCCTTTCTGAGATGACAGACACCATAGTACGACTGCACTTGATTTTGGTAAATTTCGGTATATAGAACGGTTTACCAAAATCAAATAGTGCCCTCCGTTTGTGCCCACTATCACAAAAGGCTATAGTGGTTTACACCCTCAAAGCTTCCAAAGTCCTTTTGTTCGTCTGATGTTAGTTTGTTCGTTTCCTTTTGGGTTTGCGTTGCTACATCCAATTCGTGAGCATTTGTCTTTGAACCGAAAATTCCCCTTTCCCGTGACTCAGGTCGGCGGCATGAAACTCAAAGATGCGGACTTGTCTCCCTCGGACCTTCGGACTTTCCAGCGGGACTCCCTGGAAGCCCACAACAAGTACCGGGCCCTCCACGGCGCCCGCAGCCTGAGGCAGTCGGACGACCTGACCAGGCGAGCCCAGGACTGGGCCGCTCACCTCGCCAAAAACGATGAGTTCAAGAACAGTGGCAACTCCGATGTCGGGGAGAATATTGCTATGCACTACTCCAGTGCCAGCACCGCGTTTTCTGGTAGATATCCAATAAGTGACTTCGCCATACATTTAAAAAGTTGTTGTCAAGTCAATCACAAGTCTCAAAATAAACTGTGACCCCCCCCCCCCCCAAAAAAACCCATCATTTCTTTGTCCTTGAACATCCCGTTACCTGTGATCTAAGATAATGTGAGGAAATTGTCTCTGAGTTGTTTACCACACTCTGAACCCAACTGCCCAAAACTGCCCAAAACCCAACTGCCCAAAAGAAAATATCTACAAAAGATCTCGTCACACCAATTTAAAAAGTCTGATGATGCCGCTTCTTACATGTTTGCCTCAGACGAAACCGAACTCGGTCAAAAGAAGCACGCATCATAATCTGCATGGTGTTATGGCAGAATTTGTTTTTCGTCAGTTAGGCTGATAATGCTTTCGATTTTATTTCTCTTGCAGGAGAGGAAGCCACTGACATGTTTTACCGCCAGATTTCCAAGTATAACTTCAAGGAGCCTGGATTTGTCTCCGGCTCAGGTGAGAACGTCCGCTTTCAAAACAGAAATCTTGGAATTGTGAACCCAAACTTTGCTCACTGAAAACATTCTGTTAGAATGGGTTGCTTGACATTGGCTTACCGCCATGTACTTAAACAACAACGAATGACCAAACAAAAGAAAATATTTATGACAGCAAATATCAAAATATTCTAGCAACTTTCTGTGCTGAATTGAAATAGCTGTAACATTGAGGTTTCTGCCGGGAATGACATCACAGTTTTGTTCATGAATATAAAAAAGTTGCATTAGCATAGAAACCAAAAATTACACCAAAAATACCCTTCAAAATGGCAAAATGAAACTTGAAAATAGTGTTTAATGGGACACAAAGGTGTATTTTCAAGGAGAGCATGAAAACAACTTATGGATTATTTGGTCTTTTTCAAGGTCACTTCACCCAGTTGGTCTGGAAAGACACCGAGGAGTTCGGCATAGGCAAAGCGATCACCAAGGAGGGAAAGGTCATCGTGGTGGCTTTCTACAGTCCCCCCGGCAACGTCAGGGGGAAATTCGACACCCAAGTATCCGAAGCGGGAAAATGAAACCGGTAGTGTCAAAAACAAGAGGGCGGTTGAGATGTTGGAAAGGGCGCCCTCCTGGTAATTAGGGATTTATTATTTGTCCTCGAAATTTGTTAATGTTTATGTTGGTCAGTTACTGTCGGGTTTATCATTAATGTAGTTCGCCTTTCTTGTTACCATATTCAATTCTGCTTGCCCATTGGTATTGCCTGTAATGTGAGTTTATTGCATAATTTAAATGTGAGTTTATTGCATAATTTAAATGTGATTGTATTTTGTTAAATGGTTGTGGTTACGCTGCATGTTTATTCTTAAAATTAAATTTAAAGCACGGAAATTTCACATTCCATATTTTGTTCGGGTAAATTATAACATTTTTTTAATATTCGAGTTGCACTAAAGGTGACGAGGTGATACACTTTTATTTACCATGCGGCTGAATCTAGTTTTAGTGAACATCATCAGTGCAATAATCATTATGGAACTGAAATCAGGTTCTAATTATTGTTTGAATAAATCTGTTTTATTTTAAAAACAACAATTGTAATGTTTAAAACTATCAACAGCTATATGTATATCAATGTTGACATCTTTTGGATTTGTTCTTTGTGGACCGTTTGGTATTGTAAACATTTATACTGTGATATGCATATGCATGAGTGCCTCAGGTTTAACATATTCCCATTATCTTTCAGTTTCAAAACCAAGTTAAGCGATTGGCTGTACATTTATGCATAATCATGTATGTTGATTTTAATGCGTATATAGATATGAACATAGTTTATGTATTGTTTTCATAAGGCTGAACAACGAACAAAGTTAATCTGATGTAGTAACCTGTAACAAATGCAGAAGTTTCACTTTGAATTACTCGTTATTATTTCAAAATTAACAAGTATGGCTTTCAATATCGCTTCCTTATAATGTATCATGTTCAGGAGTCAAAGTAACTGATAACAGTATACATGTAACAGCGTGTAAAGATATTCTACGCTTAAGGAGAAACTAATAAGATTGACTAGATTAATAATTAAAGAGAACATGTAATTAAGGTATGGGCTTACAGAAGTTTGGACTCCATACTGCAAATAACCCCAATGCCTACGGTATGTTAATCCCATAGCACTGTGTCACACAGGAGTGTAACCCTTTATCAAAAACACGAATCCCAGTATGCTATAGATAATAAATTTAATATACCATTTACATGCACTGTTTGACCGATATTCAATTATATCGACTGAACGATAAAATATCTTACACGCAGCACGAATGGGTTTTATGTTTAAGGATTGATTGGAGATCATGAATAATGCATCAATGAGCGGATTGGCTAGCCCAGGGGCAACGTGGTTAGACAGAGGCAAGGTGTGGGCTGTTGTCACGTGGAGAAGACCACTTCGTTGCAGTAACTGAATGTGACCGATATAACACAAAAGATAGCTTTACGTTCATCGAATTGTTCAGCAATTGAAATATATAGTTCTTTTATCTCTTTATCAGAACTGTTCCTTGTTTAATTGTTTGAATCAGATTATATTCTCTTGTTCTTCTCATTTATACGGATTAACGTGCTCAACGGAATTTGACATCACCGTGGTTTATGATCTACTTGTGTACGTCACGACTTAGTTTCCTAAACTGTATTGAACGGATCCCGCCTATTTCCACCTAAAACATGTTTAACAATATATGTTCTTTTTAGATGTTTAAAATATGCATTTTCTTGAACATTGTTGAAATCATTACAAGTTATATATAAATAAATCTGCGACTATCTGTTGAAAATATCGAAAGATTTTCTGCGGAACACATTTCTATGAAATTTAGTTGTGGCTAAAACAGAAATAAAGGAAGTTGAACGGAAAAAACCCTGAGTATGCTAAATGTATTTATTTATTTATTTATTTATTTATTGATTTATTGATTTCTTCTTTCTACTGGGTGGCCCATTCAGTCCTTTTATCAGAACTGGTCCCAGATGTATGAATATATGAATCAATTCTGTCAGATATTTAAATGTGTACAAGAAACAACAAAGGTCTCAGTGGCACTCATCGAGCTGGAAAACTATCCCTCGAAAACACGACTGACCCCTCTCGCAATAACAAAAATGTGTGCCCCTCTCAAAATGGAAAACTGGCCCGTAAAGAAATTATAGTGCTCCTTACGCTTTTGAAATGTAATGCAAACATTTTGAAAAGTGTATATCAATGTTGGTAGTAAATTTTGCTCTGGGAAACATGTATTCCTTATAGTTTCACAATTTGCTGCCTTTTTTTCTGAGCAAATGCCTCTTTTTGGTGATGCCCCCAGTTTTAAAAACGTTCTGCCGCCGCCGATTGGCGTATTACATGTGCACCTAGTAAAAATTATACTCCCTCGTTACGTACGCAATACGACTCGAATTTAGATCGTTCAGTCGCCAAAGGTTCATGGATTTGCTTTGTTTCATCTTACAGGCCTTTTCGTGACCGTAGACTTGAGTTATAAGGCGTATGACAACCCGAACACGAAAAAAAATCATGCGAGTGGCAGGCTCGTTGGCTCCGTGCGTCGTTATCAGCTTAATTCCCGGGGTGGGCCGCGGTGACGGCCGCGGTGACGGGCTATTGAATCATCCCCCACTTTTGGGGGATTTTGAGTCATTTTCCGAACGTCCCAGCAACTAAAATGTGTATGTATGAGTATACATGATTGATAAAGAGCGTTCCAGTATAATCATTTTCGAATGTCCACGGCCGGGCAGCGCATATTGCTTATTGGCTCAAGATCACGTACACGTAGCAGCTATTATAGTCAACGAGAGGACATTTTAAAAAGCTTGGGGCCGAGCCATTCAAATATCATTCGGGTTTACGTTAAACCTTTGAACCCTATTGGCGTTTGCGTTTGTCAAATATTTGACGCCAGAATTCCATCCTTTGGAATGGAATTATCGGTGAAAAAAGGGTGATTGAACTTACTGTGGAAAAGTGATAATATTTCAAGCTAATGTCTTTAAAAGAAACATGCAGTGAAAATTCTGCTCATCTTGTTTTTATGCAAATCACTATGTGTTGCATCAATATGTACAAGATCTTAATACTTGTTTGAAGAGTAGGTGGAAAATCATAGTTACGTGGCAAGAAATCTGTTTAAAATGTATTTGAGTCATAAAAATCCATTTCATTGTCCCTTTAAAAGATAATTTCTACAAAGTAGGATTTTCTAGTGACTGATTTGCAGTCAGGTTATAAAAGAGTGAAAATCCAAGAAACTTTATCCGAGCCCAAAGTAGCCCAAATACGCGTCAGCACCCGTAAAAGGGTAAGCTGCTTGTACTATGCTGACTATGATAAGCTATACCGCAGGGAGCTTTATTTAGTGGCGTGGACGGCTTAAAATACCCTTTTTTCAACTGAACATTACTGCATCCACGTCAGTTTGCCCTGTTTTACTCTGGTCAATTGGCCCTATCTTGTCCACATCACTCGTTGATCCGTTGGACACTGATGCTGCTGAAAATGAAGAGGGCCAGCAAGAGAACGAAGTAGCAAGCGGTATCCTAAGGAGGCTATGGAGATTGACGAAGATGATGTTTTCATGGATTCTTGGGATGCCCCTTATTAGACTTCGCCACAACATCACTTGTTATATAAATAGCTCAGTAGTCTTTCTGTAATGACTGGTTCAGGAGTTAGTAAAGTAATAAATATTCATCACTTGCAAGGAGGTATATGCGCTAAGATAACACAATGATGAAGACCTCAAATTTACACATCCTATGACCTCGAAGATCATTATTAATCATATTATTAACATCAAATTATCATTTGGGTTAATAAGAAAACTTCTGAACAGTAAGCTTTAATAACCATATCATTGGGAAATGAAAACAATTAAGTATTTTTGTAATAAAATGCCCTTGACCATAGTCTAGTCCTTGGGGCAAGAAAAGGACCTCTGATTACTTCTAAACCACCACCAATCGATTCCATGACCCTAAATGAATATAACTGTAAGCGTTTTATCCACTGGCTATATTTTAAGATTTACATCATATTGGGTCAATATCCAAAATTTAGAGAGTTGGGTCAAATACTGAGCCATAACTCCAAAATAAAATGCCACATGCTTTTTTTATTTAATGGATTTGGTAATAGGGATAATGTGGGAAATTTGTAAAGCAATAAGTAGGCCTCTATTACCATATCTATAGGAGCTAGGTAAACAATAATGCCGATGGGAAAATGAAAATGACTCATTTTTTTACAAAAATGACCTTGACTTTTGCCTGAATCACGTGACCTTACCCTCCAGCTACTTTAAAAACCTCGAAAATCGATTCAGCACCCCTGAAAGCCAAGATCATAAAAATCGGCTCGTTAGTCACTGACATATGACACTTAGCGTTTTAATTATTCGCACGGCAGCGAAATATGCAAATTTGGGCATATGCAAATTTGGGCATCATGAGACTTTTTTTGGCAACAAATCAAAATTCTTTAATCCGATGTCCTAGGGATTCTAAAAATCATCTTGGAATTTTACTTTTATGGGGGTGCATGGAAACCCATTTCTCCTGCCTTACTATATTATATACCTGCAAATTAAATAAGCAAAATGGAAAAGGGCTGACTGCTTAAATAAATTCACAATGAACGTTAAATAATATGTAACAAGTTTGAAACAAAATCATCAAGTACACGTTGTAAATCAATTACTTGCTATTAATTGCGGAATACAGGAAGCAAATTGCCTTGTCGGCGTGTACTATTTATCAAGATTCACAGTAGACCCAGAAAACGAGTTTGAATCATTATCTTCCACAGAGGAACAAAGACAGGCGTATCTGTTTGTGTTTGTGTTTATTCAAAAAAAATCTGAAGGGGATGATACTATGACCCTTCCTCATTGTAGTTTTTACATTTTGTTGAGAACAGTTGCTGGGAAAAAATACAAATGAGTTTTGAAAGACATAGGCCTATGGTGGCTCAGCAATTATGCAAACACGCGAGTCACAGATGGAGCCAAATGGCAAAGTTGTTATTTTTTAATACAGGAGCTTTAAAACCAAACTTGAACATGATCCATGAATGTTTAAAAAGATGTCAGCTGGATGATTCGTTTACTTATCAGGTATTTCAAGTCATTTACGTGCATTGTTTAGGAGAAGGGGAGAGTCATCACTGTATATTTATTTATCAACAAGTTTTGGATACGGTCTCTGAATTCCATTAGTGCAAATCCGATATGGAAATAAACACTTCTGTTATGTTGATGTACCTTTCGAGTTGGCCCCCTTGTGACGTCATGCATATTAATTTGTCTAAGGAATTAAACAAAAATGTTAAAAGGATCCGGAGTCGCATGCTCTGCACATGCGTGGCAATCACATATGGAGCTGTCTATCACAGACGACGGGGGCGGGGTTTTGGGATCTAAGCCACAATATATGTTGTGTCGCCTCGGTAACATGCCCAGACCGCTCCTAGATTGAAGCTCGGAGCAGAGTGTTGCCTGTGCGTAGCCGGATCGTTTAATTGACAGGGCTACAGCGGGATTTCTCGACGATTTTCAAGGCAGGACCATGGCGCTCTTCATATCCTTTTTGCTTATCGTCGCAACCATCCAAGCGTCAGCTGGTAAGTTCTGATTTCAGAATGCAATATTATTCGACTTTGACTTTTGTGTCTTTTCGACCAACAATCGTTTAATTTTCAGATGGAGGGATGGAATAAAACCCTCGTAGAAGTGGAACTGCGTGATCCCTTAAATCCGACCATGAAAGGACGTTATCGCCTGGAATATCCCAATTGGGCTACAAAACGCATTTTTTAAACGAAAGGACGTTAAATGAAAGGCCAAGGAGCATTTAAAGTAGGATATAAACTTCCACACAACCACCGTTTAAAAACCTATTTGTGCAGAAACCATGCGTTCGAATTTCGTGGGTCAAAATTTGGACTCTCTTAAATCGAGCTGTTGGGTGCTATTTGTGAATGCTGCCGCACAGTGCATCGTATTCTGCGAACGTGCGCGAAACAACAGTGTAACCTACCAGGTTTTTTCCCGTCTTTTCTCGGGAACGACATTATTATTTTTTTTTCAACCAGACCTTTGAAATAGTTTAAAAAAATATAACATGGTTTGAGGGTGGACAGTCGATATTCGCTTTCCGAGGTATTGGAAGTTGACAAACTAGTTCCCGAGGCGCAGTTATATTTGTTTTACTATTAAGTCCCCCTTAATACTTGTCTGTCTAACTCAAAAACTACTGGGCCAATCTTGCTCAAGTTACGACTGATCAGTACCAAAAATCCTTAGCAATCCAGCCATACTTTTTGTTTGGCTCTAAACAGTGATAATGTGTACAAAATTATGCAATTGATGACAAATTGTACCGAAAAAAATGTGCACTTTTGTATAGGTGTAAGGTGAGTGTGAACTACGACATGCACGTATATAAAAGTGCAACTGTTTTCGATATCATTATTGAATATTCTGTCGCGGCCATACGCCGAATTGCGGGATGTATGATCAAAATGATAAAATACAAAATGTAATATTCCAAGCTCAAGAGAAGTACAAAGCCCAGTTGGGCAGACAGGGTTATCGGTAACCGATCTTCTTTCTGTTTGATGTCGTTACATTTTTTGACTGTATTTTCAACTTGGCCCTTTATTGAGTTGAATTACAATTTGAATTGAAGGGTCTATTTAAATTCTGTCAAGACCATACGCTGAATTGTGGAAATATTTACCGTAAACTCATTAAAATTTAAAATGTATAATTCCTAACTAAAGAAAAGCACAAGGCCGCGGTTCGACCGACAGGATTATACCGGATTATACCCATCCTCCTTCTCTCTGACTGGAGGTTAATGACG